ACGCTCAATTGAAACTTTATGTATTCGACAAATTGTCCTCATCCGAGGACAATCTATAATATCTAATCTCGAAGATGGAAAGCATCATACGTAAAATCGCGCGTTAAAAGGTGATTAGCCAAATTTTCAGTTCTAAAGAAAGAAAGAAAGAAAAAAATGCGTGGTCTCGAACGGAACTGGATAATTTTAGACCATACGATTTCGGAGCGGAATTAATCTCGTTGAAATCGTTGAATATCCGCCCTCGTGCAGCACTTTTCCTTTCCCGAAACTTAGTACTTCAGTGCTTACAGTGTTGACAATGGGATAGAGATGAAAGTGTACAGCTCTTGGATGCTGGTGCTTTCTTATGTACATAATTATTGTATCTGTGATGTTATTAAATAAACTTTACCATATTTAAACAATAATAATTCCGACCTTTGTTAATTATATTTCATACAGAAAATCAGCTTAGTGTGTAACTATGGATATATATCTTATTTTATTGTATGGTAAAGTTTCTTAAAATCTCAGACGCATTTGTTGTCACTTGAAAATAAATATACACACTTCTTCTTTTTTATATCTAATTAGGCTTCTATAAAAGAATTTGCCTATACGCCAGTTGAATAAATTTACACGTAAAATTATTTCTTTATCACTTTTATTGTAGGTGGGTAAACGCAATATTTACCGATCGAATTCGCGCCACTGTCGTGACAGCTAGCGCCATTAGATCGAGTTGCGGCGACGATGGCGACATTCCGGTGCTCGATGCTGCCGTATCGATTGGTTGATCAGTGTCGCGCGTGTAGCCGTAACGTTCGGTTGCGATACGTCAATGCGGCAGGTGGAACGAGACCGAGCGAGTGTGTACGAGTCGTAAAGACGAACGGTAAGAGGAGTTTACCCGCGAAGCGAATCTACGAGCGTGGTGAATCAGAGTTCCCCGGCGACGAACGGAAATCCTTAGTCCCGGACGGGCGGCTTCCGCTCGGCGAATGTCGGCAAACACGCTGCCATGTAGCGCCGGTTGTGTGTGCTGTAAATGAAGCGGCGCCGTATACCGCGCTCGCGTGCCGCGGGGAGGGTATCGTCCGCCGCAATCGCGACGGCAGCGGCGGCGGGGGCGATGGGAATGGCGCGCAAATGCTGCGTGCGTAGCTGCGAGGCGGACGTGCGGGAGGCGCGCGCCAAAGGACTACCGCTACACAAATTTCCCAAGGACGTCGCGTTGAGGGACAGGTGGTTGGCAAGCGGCGGATTCGACGAGAGTTTCAAGCCGACGCCGGGCCAGGTCGTCTGCCATAGGCATTTCAAACGCGCCGACTACGACCACGCCGCACGGGGCGGTCACAAGTTCCTGCTCAAGAGGGGCAGCGTGCCCACGGTTTTCGCCGACTATGACAATCATCCCGGTACGTGCGATAGCGCGCCGACGACCGGTCTATCTCGTGCCGCGAGGGCCAAGTGGACGGTTGCGAGGTGTAAAACGCACAACGTAGTTACTTCCGCGCATCTATCTGTCTCTCTTTCTTTCTTCCCCCTTCCCCGCCTCCCTTGCTGTATCCACCTCACCGCTTTGCTCTTTGCTCCGCCATGTATCCCCCCGCTGCATTCTCCCCTCTCCTTCGCATCTGTTCTCGATTCGTCGCATCGTGTTCGATGCGTATACGCGGCAGCTTCGAGTTTGTCGAGTCGCGTTGAGCCACGCCGTGTCGCGCGCGATGCCGGTAATTTACGAAAGCGCGTTTTTTTTTTTTTTTTTTTTTCCGACAATGCCCGCCGGGCCAGGTCGTCTGCCATAGGCATTTCAAACGCGCCGACTACGACCACGCCGCACGGGGCGGTCACAAGTTCCTGCTCAAGAGGGGCAGCGTGCCCACGGTTTTCGCCGATTATGACAATCATCCCGGTACGTGCGATAGCGCGCCGACGACCGGTCTATCTCGTGCCGCGAGGGCCAAGTGGACGGTTGCGAGGTGTAAAACGCACAACGTAGTTACTTCCGCGCATCTATCTGTCTCTCTTTCTTTCTTCCCCCTTCCCCGCCTCCCTTGCTGTATCCACCTCACCGCTTTGCTCTTTGCTCCGCCATGTATCCCCCCGCTGCATTCTCCCCTCTCCTTCGCATCTGTTCTCGATTCGTCGCATCGTGTTCGATGCGTATACGCGGCAGCTTCGAGTTTGTCGAGTCGCGTTGAGCCACGCCGTGTCGCGCGCGATGCCGGTAATTTACGAAAGCGCGTTTTTTTTTTTTTTTTTTCCCGACAATGCCGCTGTTTCATCAACAGTTTCTCATTGTCGTTGCCGATGTTGGCAAATATTCGCGATCGAATAATTCGCGCGACATTCGAATGTCCATTTGTGTGTTCGATTGTTTGCTGACAAAAAAACGTGCCTTATTTTGTTAGTAAGCGGCGACAAAACATTTTCATTTGTATATACATGTCTATGTTAGAATCCGGTCTTTCTTATTAGATTATATAGGGTGTCTCAAAAAGGCCTGGTATCCTTTTTGTAACAAATTTCCTTTGACCCATTTGAAACGGATTTTATTTTATCGAAAATATCGATTTTTTAGCTTTATTTTATAGCTTAAAAATTGTATCTAAATATTTTATGTAATCAGTGTAAAATTCGATAATGTTTATTATTATTATTATTTTTTTTGTTTTTACAGATCCAGTGATTATGTCAGTAAAATCTTCTACATCTTATGCGCAAGAAGACTTGGATCTGATCAACTCAGAAATACTTAATTTGGAACATTCTGCCTCACCATTATTATCAGAAGCGAGAACACCTAAATCGGATAGTTGTGGTGAGACGTGTTACTCCAGACCTGAATCGTCCACGGACTCTTTAAATCTCCCTGATGGTTCAGAAGTAATGGAAAACGATTGCAAAATGGCAAATCTAAAGGAAGAAATTGTGACATTAGTGAAAGACAAGTTGATTGAAAATTCGGACAGTAAAGTAAATACGGTAGCAATGCAGCTTGGTATTGTTGAGGCAGAAGCAACAATGAAGGCTGATGGTAAAGATCTGATAATAAAGGAAGAATTGAAACACATGAAGTTACCCGATGACAAGGAGTTTGGCAAATCAGAAGAATTAAAACCAAAGATTTTAAATCGTGATGGCGCAAAGTTTTATCCTGGTGCTAAACTGGAAGCAAAAGACTTTAATGAAAAGTGGCAAGTATCGTTGAATGTGAAAAAGTTATTGTGTGATATGAAAATTCCAAGTGTTCAAAATATCAGAAGTTTAACAGTCAATGGTTATTATGACTGAAATAAAATAAATATATATTGATCAATATTTATAGGTATTCTGCGAAAGTGGTAGAAACAGATTGGGATGAAAGAGAAGTTTTGATACATTTTGACAAATGGAGTTCGAGATTTGACGAATGGATACCAATGGATAGTTCCAGACTTCGTGTATTGCAAACCCCACCACAGTAAGTTAATGCTTCGTTATAATCATTAAAATATTGCATTGATAACTCGCACTCGTTATCTAATTTTCTTCTATAATACATTCTTCAAAGACTCAAAGATTTATCTTGATAAGCCATTCTTTGTCTTTCTTTAAGCGAACAAGCTTGGATCCCGCTGTCTCCGTAAGTGAACATTATGTTATTAACAAATAGATAAAACTTGTAGTGTCTAAAATAATAGTAGTATAGTTTTTGGTTTAGTAGCATTTGTTTAATATGCTGTGATTAACAAGAGTTAAATAGAGAAAATGATTTGAACCCTATAGACTGTTTATATCTACAAAGGTGATGGTAAATATCTTCGTCATATCCCCAAATAATATCTTAAACAATGGAATATGCAAATAAAAAATTCATTTTTCATTACATACATTGAATCTTATTTCTTTGTTATACAAATGTATAAAATGAAAATATTATTTATTGTGTTACGAGTAGTAGATTATATAGAAAACTTTTTTTTGTTATGTAATATGATGCAATATTAATTACATATTGTATCTTGCATGTATATTGTTTGACAGGAACAAATAGTATTAATTATTTTTGTTGATATATCTCTTTTCATTATATGTGTAAATGCATTACAATAACACTTTTCTTGAAATATTGCCAAATCGATTTTTCGAATTTAGTTTTCTGAATTTTTGGTATAAGGTGAACCCTAAACTCCAATTAGCTTTGACAGATGAGTTACGAGGCGAAGTTATTTCCGTAAAAAAATAAAATTTGAATTGCGACGAAACGTCAACGATATATCTTGTAGCTTTCTCGTTTCGTCGAATATTATTTTTTGTATTCAATTTCGTAATGCGACGATTTCGCGTCTGCAGGGAGGCAAAGATGCGAGACTTTTCAGTGGGCGAAAGGGTACTCGCTACGTGGGCGGACGGTAGAAAATATCCTGCCAAAATTAATGCGATCTTGACAAACGGTAAGCGATCTAACCTAACCTAACCCCATAAGAGGAGAAAAGGGACTGCGTCCCCGTAGACTACCGTTTGACGTTTAGGGGGATATATATGTAATCTTTTTTATTTCAACGAAGTACTGTACCTCGGCATATAGTGTTAAGTAAATTTTTTTCGCAGACAGGTACGATGTATTATTTGATGATGGATATGCAAAAATCGTCAAGTCGTCGAAAATGACCAAGATCGCCGAAAGTCCAACCAAGGTATGAATCATTAGATTGAGGTTATGTTGTTGTTTCTTGGTAACTGATATGGATCACAAAGGTTGATGGAATTTCGTCTCGAACTCGTCGAGTTAGTAAAATCGAACGATATCTTTAATTGATATTTAATATTTATCATTAGCTCTCTTTCTCGGATATATCGGATTTGATATCATGATTTTTATATAATTTTTAATTATTATCTCTCAACAAAAGTCATGAGAGTGTAAAAAATGATTTCATGAAACCTAAAACAAGTTAGATTTCTTTAAATTTAAATTTTTTCGCATGTATATAACATAAATCTGTATCACGTTACACTTTCTATATTATTTGAAAATTATTTCTTTATTTCTCTTAAACAGCAATTAAGTGAATTGGAAGGGTACATAGGCAGCAAACAAGAAAGAAGGGATAAGAAACGGAAGCATACAGTTATGGAGTTGTTTAACACTCACTCGAGAAAACGTACGAAAAATGATGCTGATAAAACATCAAAGAAGGAAGAGACTGTTGTCAAAGAAAGTGGGGAAAACTCTACAGAAAATAAGATCGAATTAGATGGTACCTTATTTGGCGCCTGTTATGATCCGGGTACAGATTTATTAAGAGGCTTTGAAACTAATCCCTCAAAAATTAAATCATATTCGAAGAAAAGTAAGAAGGAAATGCCTAAAAATGATACGGATCACGAAGAAGATGTTGGTCCTGAATGGATCGATGGAGAACCACAAGGAACAGAATCTTATATTGTAGATGGCAATGATGGTGAGTTACAAATATTATTTCTTGATGTGATACATTTTTTCTTATTTCTGATCATAAACATATTGCAATAATATTCTAATGTATAATGTGAACATTTACATTTTAGGACCACGTCGCTCTATAATAGTATCAGATAGAAGATTACCTCCTGGTTGGGAAAAACACTTTACACAAAGAAAAGCTGGTACATCTGCTGGAAAGTGGGATGTTTTATTCATACAGTAAGATGAAATATAAAAATATGTTATTTGTTATTATTAAATAATATAATTTACACATAATTATATTTTTGTTTCAAAGTAAGCAGACTGGAAAGAAGTTCAGATCCAGAAATGATATCAGAGTATTCCTGGAGAATCAGGGGCAATATGATTTTAATCCTGAAAACTTTGACTTCTGCATACATCGTAGAAAACGAAATCATGCACCACGTTTGAAACAAGAAGCTACACCAGAAAAAAAGATAAAAACTTTATTGCCCAAAACAAAAACATTGCCCACATCTGAGAATACATTACTGCAAACGCCAAATACTATCAGTACACCACCTAACATCTCAACGCCTGTTACATCTACGGATGGTGGTAAGATTTATGCAATATATTACATTTTAATTCGCGTGTATCACATTTTAATGTTTGAAATATGTTTTTTACACTCCACTCTAATTCATCAGAGATGATTTATTGTAAGTACTTGTACAGATATTGTAATTTTTACAAAACTGAGTAAATTAATTATTAATTTCTTTATAATGTAATTATAATAATAAAATGTATACATATATATGTGGATAATATGCTTTATAATATAATTTATTTGTTATTATTCTGAAAAACAGCCGTTTTCATTGGACTTCGTGGTGGACTTCGTGTAGAAATGGAGGACAGCGCCTATAAATGTCCTAAAGAAGGATGCAATAAAAATTTTCGAAAAGAAAATTTGCTGCAAATGCACATCAAGCATTATCATCCTGAATATTCCAAGTTTCTGGGTTCTACTCCAAAGGTTGAAGATTTGGCTTATGCAAGGACAATCGGGGAATCTATAGACGATATTATTCCAAAGAAATCGACGACATTCTTAGACAAAATAAACAAATTTGCTAAGAAGAAATCTCTTCCGGAAAAATCATCTACATTATTACAATCAACATTGAACACTATGCAACCGGCGTCTCCTTCAATACCTGGCTCAGTTATGCCGGAATTAGAAGAAGAAATTGATCAAACGGAGAAATGCAATGATTTGCAGAAGAAAGATATGAAAATTGAAACAATGTCTTCAGTATCTAATCACAGTATGGAGATAGATGATGATATCGAGAAGAAAAGAGAAAATAGTTGTGCATTGTCTCCTGGTACATTATTTGACATGAAGGTAAAAGAAGAGAAAGCGCAAGGTGGAATTAAAACACTATTACCTGTAAGGCCACCCACAACATCAGAGATGCAAAAAGTCGATAGAGCAAAACCTTTGGATGAAATGACGCACGTTGAACGTACGAAGGGCCAAAAGAAGAGACAAATTTCCGAACATAGTGTAGATTCACTGATTAAAGGAAAGAAACGACATGGTAAAATGTTTTCATATATACTAATTTGCTCTTATCACAAGTTTTAAAATTAATATATAACACACGATATCTTACATGTTATATAGGTACATCAGACCTTACTGATAGTTTCGGTGATCTAGATGATAGTGCTATGGATGCGGAAGGACCTGCAGCACTTATGTACAGATATAGCCGTAGAAAATCCGATTCAAAGAGTGATGAGAACAGTCAAAACAGTAAGTGCAATGTTTCAGCTGCGTACCTTATAATGCTACAAAAGCAATTGTTTTGAGTTCTTAGATATACTTTTTTTTTCTCTGGTTTAATAAACGGGATATATGGGATTTCTTTTTTAATTTGTATGTTTTTGATCAAATTTACTGTTGCATTATTTCTGTTGTTTCTTAGGTCAACTAAATGATTCTCGCATTGAAAAAGGCGATCCCTTAAAAGGGGATATAATCAAAACAGATATTAATAATGATACAGAAGGTACATTATTTATTTTTTTTATCTTTTATTCACTTTGCTTTTTAATTTCAGGTACCATCAATGTTATTTTATTTTATTTATTATATTTTATTTTATAAGAAACGTACACACATTTAGCATATTTCTCTCAACATATATGTCTCTTCACTACGAATATTTTATATTGTTTCTATATTATATAAGTTTTTTAAATGAGTGTGTGATCATTTATTATTGCAGAGAGCGAAGGAGTGATGATGATGATCAATGGAGAAATGGTAAAGGTGGAACAACTTCGGAGAGAAGAGATAATAAATTGTACATGTGGTTATATGGAAGAAGATGGTCTAATGATACAGTGCGATCTTTGTCTCTGCTGGCAACACGGTCATTGCAATGCGATTGAAAGGGAGAAGGATGTTCCTGAAAAATACATATGTTATATATGCCAACATCCGTATCGGCAACGGCCATCTAAGAAATACTTTCACGATCAGGATTGGATTAAAGAAGGAAAATTGCCAAGGTAATTTTTATTATACATGTAACATGCAATTATTTTATATAATAATCTCACTTGCATATCGATTTTCCAACTTTTAGTTTGCCTAATCGAACCCGGAATCAGCACATGATAAATCAGAGGACTGCGATGTTAAAGCGTTCTTATGACTTGGTTGCTGCACTTTTGCAAATACAACAACTTCTTCATAGCTTGCGTGTAAAAATTAATGTGGCTCAGTAAGTGATGTCTGCTTGTTTGACAGAATTTACATCTGTGCTATAACAAATAACTTGTTTAACTTTTTATAAAGAAAAAAAGATCATCCCAAATTATACCTTTGGGCCAAGAATTGGGAAAAAATGGAAATACCAAAAATAGATATAGAACCAGTACCAATAATGGAAATAGTGAAAGCAGGACCGAGTTTTACCGATGTGAGTTCAGAAATTTCACGACGTGTTGAAGTAAAACCGGATGTCAAATTGTGTATAAAGGACGATCAAGATGAAAAATCAATCGCTTCGGATTCGGAATTAATGAAAATTTTGGAAGAGGATAGCACGCATTCTGATGAATCTAGGATTATTAATAAAAGGGAAGGTTTCATGAACTCAAAGGATAGTCACATACTTTTGGACGCATTAACGAGCGGTAACTCAGACATAAAGGAAAGAAACGTTGCTATGTCAGACATTAAAACAGAGAACACAGGTACAGTAATGTAATAAAGTAAGAAAAAAAAATATATGGATAAAATATTTTTCCATTATTATATATCTCTTTTTTACAATATATAGATTTTCTAGCTGATAAAACTATGAATGATAATTCTACATCTGAGAGCCTTTCTCTCAACTCGGGACCGCTTATTGATAATGTTCAACAAGAATCGAGTATAGCCGACGTTGAAAACGAAGTTTCTGCACTCCCGCAACCTTTTATACCAGAGCCCGAAGCGCCGATTGATCCAACCGAGTGCCGAATGAGATTGTTGGAGCATATTGAACATTTTCAATGCCATCTTGATTCGAGATTAACATCTATAGAAGCACAAATTTGTGGTAATAAGAAAAAGATATTAAACAAAAAGAATGTGTATCACAAAATGCTTAAATAAACGTTTATTATATTATTTTAATACATAGCTCTAGAGGCAATGGATCCAGATGAACTTGCATTGGATCCACATGTTCAGCCTCGTACTAAGCAAACTGTACAGATGCTCCTTCGTGATTTGAGTACAGTCCGGAAGCTGGCAGCATTATGTTGAAGACTTGGTCAAATCTCTGTGGAAGCTTACAACATATATATATATATATATATATATATATATATATATATAGAAAAAAAAATAAAATATATATATGTAGATAGAAAAAAATAGTTAATATCTATATAAGCAGCATCTCTTGTATTTATGCTACTAAAGTAAAGGTAATTACATAATTTGTTGCTACTGTTATAAAAGAAAATTTATCTTTTCGATTTTAAGATAGTTAAGCAGGTTAATTAACCTGCTTAATTCGTTATTAGAATTGTAACATAATTAAAATTGTTATTGTTAAAAGCGAAAAAATAAGATATTTTTTAAAGTCACTCATGTATTTATATATACATATCCTAACGATTAGTGATAATATAGCCTAACTTTTTATGTTCTTAATGTTTGTAAAATTTATAAATTCTAGTATTAATATCTAGATATTTTTTCTAGACTTTATATTTTACAACTTGCGTTTTGGAATATAGTACATAAAATTGTACATATAAAAATAGTATATACACACACTACTTTTATATGTATAATTTTGTTGTGTGTGTGTGCTCGCGCGCGCGTGTATGTGTGTATATGTACATTATATTTATTTTTATATAATTATATTTATTTTTCTTTCCGTCAAATGTGTAAGGATAATCTAAAGTATCTAAACAAGGAACATAATGTTGACAATCCGCTTTCTCTCTCGTTCTTTCTATCTAAACAGATTTATCTATTATGAAATTTTTTTGATAAATGAACAATTAATGACTAATAAATGTCGCGATGATGCACATTACTCGCCAAGCTTACTAACTACCTATGTATTATACATATATATAAATGTCTGCTTGTAAAGGGCGGTGGTATAGCAAGCACACATATACATATATAGTAGCTTCGAAGCAACGCGAATTTTTGGATGTGTGATTTCTGGTCGCCATGTTGGTTTAGTCCAATGACTGACGTCAGCGAACGCTTAGCGGTGTGCAATCGCACGAACAACAAAGACGGATAGACAGAGATAGCGAGTAGCGTGCGCTCGTGGTGCGCAAGCTTGGAAAAAGAAGGGGAGAGAGGCGTGCGCGATCCGTGGTGGCAGGCAGAGTGCACAAGCGGTGCACAAAACGGTGTGTGCACTGTGCAGTCGTCGACGGATGTAAAGGACGTTGTGTGTGGGCTCGGCTCGGCTCTATTCGGCTCGTCTCGTCCCGGCTCCGATTCTCTCGCATCCGTTATGACGATATAGTGATCCAGTCGTGCTAGGCGCTCTCCGCGTCTCGGGCTCGTCGTCTCTCTTCCCCGGCGCAGAAAGAAAGAGAGACCGCAGTTCTGAATCGAACTTGGCGCACCCTTCGTGCCGAGAGAGAGAGAGAGAGAGAAAAAAAAAGAATCCGAGAGAGGAAACGCGCGATGGAGGCGCGACGCTGTACGGTTTGACGGTCTCCTCTATATCGTATCGCGCTCCTTCGGGTCGAGTCCGGACACTACCTAGGTGTGTTCCGCGCGCGCCATGTGCCGCGCCGCCGTCACCATTCCGCGTGTGTCTCCTCCCTGCGGTTCGTCGTCGCGCGTAGTTCGATAAGTGTCGCGTAGCCGTGCCGTTTGGGTATCTTTAGCAAAGTGCTTCGTTCATCGGTGCTTCTCGAAGTGTTGGTGCACGCAAGTGAAATTCAACAATTGCGCACTTCTCTCTTTCCTCGCCCTTGCGTGTTTGTTCGGCTCGCGAGCCGTAGGAAGAGATAGCGCGAGAGAGGAAGGGAGAGAGAGAAAGAGAAAAAGCAAGCGATAGATTCGCTCGTCGGTGGCTAGAGTATCGGTGAGCGCTCCGACAAGCAGCGGACAAGCGAGAGAGAGAGAGAGAGAGAGATAACGTGAGGGAGCGCGAGTGGCGTATATCAAGATGGCGCATAATTTGGCACCGAGCGTCAACTGCTCGCTCGACGACATTGACCTGAACGCTCTGAAGGTTCGTAAATATGGGGATTAAATTCGCGACACGACGTCTCACGCGAGACAAGGAGTCGCGCAATCGCGTGCATCGCGTTGTCCCGGCGACCCCCGGTCCACCTGAACCCGTCTCGCTCTCCCCTCCCCTCCCATCCCTCTTCCTTTGGACCCGCCTGGTGTCACGCGCGTCTTATTATACGTGGTGATTAACCTCGCGAGGGAATCGACGCCGATGTGGTGACGATGAGAGGAAAAGGAGAGGAATCCGTTCTCCTTGATTTTTTTTTTTTCTCTATCTCTTTTTCTCTCTCGCGTCATCATTAATGTCGCGTGGTCGAGACGTAAAGTTGGAAAAAAGATCGAATGCATTCGTGCATGTCATCATTGACAATTAATGTTGCCAGAGTTAATACAATTGCATCAGTTTCGATATTCTTTGCAAATGATATTGGTCAGTTTTTTTAATGCGTAATTCTCGTATAAAAAGGTTGAACGTTCGCCTTTTAATTTATCTCGATGCCATGATTATACATGCATGTCAAAACTACGTCCGGCAACACTCGTTGACAATTCCACAGAGACGTCATCTCGCGAAACGAGATCTTTCGACGTAGATTATCCCCCGTGTTTTTCTTCGTTTTAGAGAAGTATAATGAAGAGAAACGATCAATTTTTTTCGTTTCGAGTTTATTCTCAATATCGATTATTACAAGTATAAAACTTTAATGAAACGAGTATAATACATTTAATTAGATAAAAAAATCGAAGCTTGACCCCAGGATAAAAAACGGATAGTTGGCCATATTGATTGAAAACGTATTAATTGTGATTTTTATATATAAACACCGAATACTTTTGTCGAGTGTTATGCTCCGTTTTGTATTTTTACGTCTATGATCTAATGTCACAGTCAATCATAGTTGGTGCTTTTAAAATGGCTGACAATCGTATTTTGCTTTCGGGTCTCGAATTTATCGCTAAAATAAATATTTATTCTATTAGATTTTGTATCTAAAGGGAAGATTTCTTACACAAAGCGTGTCTATTTTTATTTGACAGAGGATATAGGTTAAATTATCACGTTATATATCGATTTATCGTTACGAGATAAGAAGCATGGTCGCATCGATAAAATGTATTCGAAAACTTTTAGAAATGTGTTATCTTTTTACTATCGGTCACGCGTTAAACGATTGAAATTCTTAAGAATTCTCAAGAATTCTCTTCTTTCTGTAATATCAGTCCGGGGATTATTATTCAAGTAAAAGATTAAAATACGTTACAAGATTTTTTTCACTATAATAAATAATTATCTTGTCGAAAAATATATTTCTTTTTTTCAATACTACTTTATTTTTATTCATTTTATTCTTCCAGAGAGAATTTGATTAAAGTCACAATTTTTAAATTTAAAAAAATTTTAATTTTTTAAATTTTAATTAAAATTTTTAATTAATTATTAATTAAAATTTTTAATTTTTCTTTGCGTTAGTAATAATCGCAAAAATTAACAGGACGGTTCGCCAAACCCGATATTATTTTTCACGATGAAAAATAGTTTATACATTCTAAATATTAATTAGCCATTTGTGTTTTAGGAGCCTGCTGGAATCTTCGAGCTAATAGAAGTGGTCGGAAATGGAACGTATGGCCAAGTTTACAAAGTGAGTAACCCGAAAATTATTCGTCTCGTCACGCAACTCAAACGTATTATAATACTTTTAATATTACATATTACATAATTTAGTGGGGAATAATTTAATATTATTTCTCATATTATCATAATTGTTCTGACATTTCATTATTCGCCGGTTTTGCCATCTATGTTTGTATGCGGTTCGTTAATTATCGATTTCACGGGGGCGTGATGATATTCTTTGCTATGATATTTTAAATTAACGAGTAGGCATCAAAATGATGTGGTAGGAAGAAGAAAATACTGATAACGCGCGAATATCTCCGAGAAAAAGAGATAATGTATCTAAGATTTTCGCATATATTCTAAATATTATTTCCGAGTAACAGTCTTAAAATTCGTTGAAATAATTCATCTCATTTTGATCTCTCCTTCAAGAAATAAATATGTTTTATTTAGATTTGTAATGATTCCGAAAATGACAAACATAAAGTAAAATTGCAACTGCAACATTAATTTTTCAGGAAAATTATTTTCTTTCTAAAGTTTTTTGGGTCAGAGAAAATATAGAAGTACAAAATGTTAAATAAAAATTACGTGGATTAAGAGTTACGATACTTTTTTAAGGCACAGTATTGATAAAATGATATTGGAAAATGTTTCAGAGAATACTTAAAAAATTTCACTACTTTTGTTATTGTTAGAATATATATTCTATGATGTATATATAATATATTCTATCTCGTTTTACATATCTAAGGATCGCGTGTGTAATTTTCATATATATACATTAGTTATCGTACTTCCCGTTTGAGTAATCCATATAATTCTTATCTATCAGGACCTATACTACACTTACACTACACGTGTCTATGTTTTCCGTTTTAGGTATGTTATCGCGAGCCTCGTATCCGTCCTACAGAAATCTGTACTCGCGTACCATATTACGCGCGTGGGAAACTTTCATGTTTAAGGTGATACGTAGCGTAGCATTGCGTTGCGTTCTTGCGATACTCGTGTTCGTTTTACACCTCGGCATAAATATAAGGCTTCTTACGTTAAAAAGACGCGCGATAAACGTTTTCTTGTTGCTGCATAAAAAAGAGATAACGATGTCTCCTTTGTGTCGAGAGACTGACCTGCGATTGAATTAGTGAGCTCAGAAGCAAGCGTCGTGAATCACATAGCAGAAATGCCTATAAGAAATAAAAATTGCCTTTCTCCGTTTCTTATACAAGTAGTCTTTCACGACAAGTTCCTGCCGTTCCAGTTTCATATCTTACAGAAATATTCAGACGGTTGATATTATTATTTTGTTCCCTTATGATAAACGTGACATTTCGAATTCTAAGTCTCTTATTTCGTTTAAACACACACATATACACACAAAATAATTTAAAAAATTCAGAAAGTTAAATGAAAATAGCATATTTATAAAATTTATATGTGACAGAAAATATATTCTTGCTGTTGGAATATATAAAGATAAAGATA